ATCCCAATCAGAGTGGGAGAATAGAGCACGTATCGCGCCTCTGTGCTTCCGAGACACGTATCGTTATTTTGTGCATGTTGGCTGTACACGGTAAAGGTACAATCAAATGTCCAGCCAAACACGTACACTTGACTTCAAGTATGCGAAGTTCTGCTATGCTTCCGGAAACAAGTGCAAATGGGTATAAACAATAGTTTCCCTTTTTGGACAATACGATTTCATGACAGTGGACGTTAGAAGTGTGAGACAACATCACAACTTTGCCTATTTAGATTTTTAATAATAACTGGCTTGTTGCAACTACGTACTCATTATATTTATAAATAAACCCACGGCAACATAGCACAGTACGTAGTATGAATACATCGCGCTCGTAATGTACGGGTTGTGAATGAATTGTATAAAAAGATCACACTTGTAACATATTAGTACAATTAGTAGCAAGAAAGCAAAGGCATGAGCTCAATTCGGAGAGAACCTTGCAATGCCGTAACGCCATTTACAGAAATTGTGCTTTACAGTCGACCACGAGCGAAACAAACACAGAAAACGGCTTTCAAAAGAGTGCGTAGGCCCAGTGAACGTCGAACAACGGGATTCAGCAAGTCCTTTCAAATCAGATTATAGCGTAATGCACGATGTTAGCTTACGGAATTAACGCCTTCAGTTGAAATGTAAGCAACTGGGCGGACCATGCAAATTACATTTCCCATGATACACTGGTGCAATTCCTGGGATTGCGGAGCCGCGCTTTAAATAGACATTATATGCAGTTGTCAGCTGTGTTATTTCCAGTATAATTTCTAAAGTCAATATTATGTGATTAGTAGAGGACATTTTAACAATTCCTGATTCTTGAATTACCAACTAATGCATAACCTACCATAGGAAGAAAAGTTACCAAAAAATGTACGGGCTGGTAACAGTAGAAAACAGTTGCATATTTGAAAATCAGAGAGAAATTGTGGGTGGGTACAAAAAGGGATAGTTAGAAAACTGTGACTGTAACATTTCAATCTTAAAAATACAAAACCTAAATATGAAAATATTTTGCTATAGGTAACGAAAATGTGCATGTTTGTTTTTTGTGTGCAAATTTTCAGCGGTGATATCGATACAAAGAGGACAGCACTTTTAGTTGAAAGAGACTGTTCGTGCTGAGTTGAAAAACAGACAAGCAGCATACTGTGACTCATTCATACATGCCTTCCAATTTGTTACACCATATTGTTTTGAACACCAAAAACAGCAACATTGCCAGCTGAGTACCTGACTGGTTTGTTATGTGCGTCTCAAGAACTGGTTCAAACCACCTTTACACACATATACAGTACTAGTTCAAACCACCTCAAAGGTTCAAACCACCTTTACAAGAGTGTGCCATTTAGTTAAATGCACTCATTTAAAAGCGTTATGACACGCACTAGACACGCTATTGACTGTGTCCTGACATTTCATACCGAGTCAGTATAAATATTTTGTTTGGATAACATTGCCATTTATTATATAAAAATTACATGATTGAATAAAATAATGATCTTCTATTTATATTCAACATATCCAAAGTCCCTAAGTTAGTTTGATGTCTCCTGTTGAGGTTGGTTTGACCTAACTTATTCTAACTGCATTCAATATTGCTGTTTTGGCATTCAAAACAATATAGCAGTGACAGTAACCTCGATTCACAAATTATGCAGGAATCAGGGAATAGAAGTGCATGATTTTATGGAAATGGCACTGCAAAACAGTTCAACAGAACAAACTAATGGAACCTAAATTAATATATTGCTTAATGTTAAATGCTAAAGATACAGGCTAATTAGCCTTCCAATGCAGAAGATGTTTGTGAGTATGTAATAGTCTCTAATTTTGGACTGTCAAACTAAATCATCTTTAGTTTGAATGAAAATGTCAATGCCCAGGGATTTCATTAGAAAGACATTACTGGTTAAATAGCTGTCTGCTTGGCAAGGTCAGTCAGCTATTTTGTATTTTAAAGATTCACAACGTGTAGATAAGTGTCACAATTTGGCCTCCCAGTTTCTAAATCTAAAGACCTACTAAAGAACAAAAATCGTGGTGAATGTCATGAAAACAATTGCTCGAACATTCAAATAACACATCTTTTTTGGATAAAAATTGTTGTAAGTCGCTCATACATATATATTTGCTCTATTAGTAACAAACATAAACCATTTAATGCAGCTAGATCTTTAAAACAAGATTTATTTTGATCCTGATCACATTAACAAAAAGCGAATAGGTATAAGCCATTATGACTGATCATTATCCATAAAATGATGTGGGCTGCAGACACAGTAAATGCTGACAGAAATAGAGACTAAAATGTAGAAAATGTAGTCTGTACTTACAGACTTGTCTTTAACTTTTATCTGCAATGAATTAATCTGATTCTTGAAGGCATAATTCCAGAGGTCTTGTTCTACTTTCTTATCCAGAGCATATTCCAAGTCACCTATCAGAAGCTGTTGATACAGATTTTGTAACTTCTGTCGAGTTGTCCATGGATCACCTACGCCATCTAAAAATTACATATTCCATGTGAGTACACTAACATTTACTACTATTATTACTATCACTTGGTAAATATCACTAAACACTCTGTGTTCTCCCTGAACATGGTAACAAGGATGCTTTGGTCCTTTATAAATTTTAAGTGCACTTTATGGTAACCAATAATAATTCAAATATTTTTTGTTTAATTCTTGTTTTAAAATTAAAACTCTGATTTTATGCTGTAGAACCAAAATAAAAATAGAAAAGTACTAGAAGCACAAGTGTTACAGTAGTTCATAGTTCATATTGAAGGTTTGTCACTGCACAGAATGCTAGGAAAAAGGCCCATATAAGAAGTATCATCAAATGTATTTTTTTATTATTGCTAACAGAATCGTGAGGAAAACCCTGGATCTTGTACAATCCTTCTATAGATGTAGGGCTGTACTAATCCAGAAAACATATACACATGATGTAGATCTGAAATAATTAAAAGGTTGGAACAACATTGATGTAGGTTATATTTTTATAAAACAATAGACTATATAACAAGACACCCAGTAGATTATATAATTCTGAATGCCATCAAAGACCAGTGCAAGATGCGCCACACTTACATATACAGTTTTATATTGGTTTTATCAATATGGTCGATGTATATGAATACCATGGAGATAATCTGTGAATAAACATGGTATTCAATATAGTCAGTGTGTAGTAGTACGAGTTACTTTTTTACACACTGTGATGAATGAGAAACGACGACTACGACAAACTCGAATTTCAACGTGCCGCCATGTTGGGTCTGCAGTGTGACATTTACCATGTTGACCTCATTATGCACGTATTTCCGCGCCCACCTCGTTATAATATGTGCTCATGAATATTTAATAGCAATGAATTTCCTGCAGAATAAACCAGTCGGGGTGATTTCGCGCTAACACCTCCATTTCGCAATTTTTTTTTAATTTTATTTAAACTACAAAAACAAATTAATCGCCCCGACTGCACCAGTTTATCCAAAACGTAATATCTAATGTATACCCTACCTACCCTTAAAGATAAAAATGCAAATGAGCTCAAAATTAATTATTTTTATGCAAATTAGCTAAAACCATTCCATCAATGTTGTATTTTTTTATTACAAGTACTTTCTTTGATGCACTGAATGACTAGCACATAGTTGTATTCTGGGAAATATATTCCAAAAACATAGATGTCATTTTTTACATGTGTAGTTAAGACTACTGTAAAGGGGGTAATTATTCACTGGGTTTTAATTTAGCTTATTTCGCTGACTGGAAAAATGCGCTAAATTAAAACACAGTGAATATGTAAAATTTAGCATAGAACACATTATCTAAATGACGAAACCGTGAATTTAAAACCCACTGAATATGCCTGAAATGGTAAATCAGTGAAATTTAAACCCAGTGAAAATTAGTGATTTTACAGTACTTTCTTACAAAACGCTAAGATTATTACTCATTGGGGAAACAAATAAATATACCTGCCTGCCTAGCTACCTGGTAATATTTTTGCCTGTCATTGGAAACACCAAATTTTTTTTACTTGGCGTAACAATTATGAATATTGTAAAAGCATTAATTATTCTCTGGGTTTTCATTGTACCAGTGAGTGATGAATTAAACATTCAACTTTATTTCCGGGCATGAAAGATTATCAAACATTTGGTCTATAGACTGCATACGCATGTACAGATGGTATCCCAATATGTGATCACTAAACTACAATCATCCCTTACTAAGTTGTGATGGTAGGAGAAAATATAAACTAGGTTTGCACCAAACATGACACTAGGTCAAGTAATTGACCATCGAAAAACATGCATTCAGATATCACGTCATTGAATGCGCCCATTTACGGTGCCGAAAAATCTAAGGTTCACCTTTCAAATTGGTCATGCTTGCTTCACTTTACGCAATTTCTTGTGTTTACAGAGGAAAGAATATGGTCTAAGTATTGCATAAAAGCATATTCAAGAATTATTATTACTACCATACATTTATAGTTTCATTTATTTAAATTGATTAAGTTTTGGTGAAATCGATCAAGTTTATGCATTCCTGGTGTTGGGCTTGAATCAAATGGTTCAATGAAATGAATACTCTATCTTCTAAAACTGTCATCATTTGTGGATTCTCTGGAAATTGACAGAGAAGATATAAACTCTGAAAATTTCGTTTTGGTGTAGCTCTGTACATACTCTACGTTTCGTGTTCGAACAAGGACGTAATGTTCTCATGAGTATACATGTAGTTGTATAGTTGACGGCAATGTCTTTGGAGTACTGAACCAGTTGTATAAAACACATCTTGTTTGGATACCAAATGATAATTATTCTAATGATGTCCCATGTTTAAAAACATGTTCAAACGCATATTATCTGGGTATTTTGATAGGTAGAATCAGGTTTTTTCACAGGGCGCTTTAAGGAGGTTCAAGCTGAATTGAAGATTATATGTTCATGCCACCAGGAAACAAGGATAAATGAAAAAATGAGCCCAAAATGTCATAAAATATGTCAAAATCAACATTTTTACACTGGTTTCTATGGTAATATTATTTTTTCATATTTCAAAATTTTACTCAGTGACATGGGAATCCTAATATTGTGAAAAAGTTTCACAAAATCAACAAATAATTTAGTGAGTTTCCGTGGTGATAATAGTTTTCCATCACATACAATGGGAGATTATCTCTCATAATGCTGCATACATGTCCAGTAGCATGCTCAGTAGTGCAAAATTTTAATTTGGCTCGAACTGCGTTTCAAATCAGATAAAGTGGAGAAGAACCGATTCAGGGAGCGTCTACCATATGCATGTATTATGTATTTATTTAGCTGCATGCACGACACCATCAAAATGCTGTTCCTATTAGAAGATCATTTGAACATGCCTCCAACAAGACCCACAATATTGTATGACCCTAAACAGAACCATACAAATTATCAAGAAATTCGAATGGAGGTAAATTTGAACTTGAAATATCTAAATATGGTCAAATACGACCAGCTGAATACGACCACACATGACAAGCGTATGAATCATAAAGATAGTAACGATTAAGACGTTAGTCACACCATGGACACGTAAAGTGCAGACAAAAACACTACCAGATGTTCACCTTAAAACGGGTAAAAAAAAAATAAACAGCATATCCGGCCGTAAAACGTAATTTAAATAGTAAATAAGCGCGAGGTCAAGATCGCGAGAAACTACGTTAGCAGTGTATCGAAAAGCTCAACTATTTATGAAATACCTACCCGAAACGTCCGCTTTCAAGGCCTCTGCTTGTCTGAAAATAAAGTAAGACATTTTAGAATAAACCTTCATGTCAATAATATTCATGTTTATTGCCAATCAGGAACTAAGTTTAAGGAATAATCACCAATTCCTCTTACGTTATGGGGAAATCACTTAGTAAACAAAGTTGAAAATTATTTTGCAGACGATGGAAATTCTGCACTCCCGGATGCAGATATTTTTATGTTATTCTGCAAATTTACGCACCTGAAAAGGAGAAGAATGCGATCGATTGATACACAATTAGTTAACGCTTATATTGCATTCATTTCTTTGCAAATTTAGCACATCAAATAGCAAATTTTACCTGAAAAGTCGAGCACTCGTACTCATTACTACATTTTTCATCAACTGGCCGCCATATTGTCTAATTTAAATAATTCGGCTGTCGTCGGCTGTAATCGGAAATAGTTGGCTTTTCTCACTACAATGAAAGCACTACTAAGATTGTATAGGCTTTTCAAGAAACTTTAATTATTTTTTTAGATACTTGTCAGTATAATGTGATGATTTTGAGAAACATTCTCAAGTCGAGTGGCAGGGAAATGCTCAGTTTGTTGTAGTATGACGTCACTGGGCGAGCCCACTTCCCTTTCAACTTTCACCTCACCGAGTACGATGGGATCCGAGGTCAAAGATTCGCAAAACACTCGTCAAACATAAATGAAAATAATAATTTTCAGCAATTTGCTATTTGTTTCTGTGGTAAAAAGTTCACATCATATCGTAAAATTTCGTGTGGTTAACTACTATAACGCATACTGCAAACAAGTCTCGGGGATTGAGAAAGCTTACAAATGAAAAAATAAATACAAACAAGCGAAAAAACTCAAAAAGTTCTAGATGGTTATATAGAATGACATTGGAGATTGTTACATAGGACGAAAAAATCATTTGAATGCAGCAGAAGACGAAAAACATGATTTCTTGACTGCGCCCTCTATTTTCAAGAAAGGGCAAATCGAATCAATTGCCTAGACAAGTTCATAAATTTGCCCAGTCTTCAGTTGTCAGAGAGCAATCAACTTGAAACAGTCGAAATTGTTGTATTGTTGAAATTGTTTTATGATGACAATGAGATTTATAGGCCTTTCTGTGATTACACACAAGATTTTATAGTGAAAAAAGCATGTAGCTCAGAGAAATATTTTAATGGATTTGTAATAATAATCATCTTTATTGTTATCGTATTCTCTATGGGACTTTGATTGAAGAATACAATAAAGGTATAGCAATGAAAAAAAAAATTAAATGAGATTAAAAAAGTATAAAACAAAAGTATTAATAAAATATAATAAATGAAAGTAAATGTTTTTATTCATTTTGAGGCAGCTGGTAGTACTTTTTATTGTATTCCGTCTCTGCTATG